CTCGAAGTGGACCCTTTGCAACAAGGCGAAGCTGGGCAAAGTTCTGGGCGGGCACAGAAGATCCAATGTATCTTAGTTCAAAGCGCACTCACTTGTCTTCCATACTGCAAATGCGGCAAAATAGTTTATAGGACGTTCTGAGAGTCAGTACTTGCAGATGTTGAGGCTGAGGCTTTATACGGGCACTTCCCAGAATTAGCCCCGCCACTGAGAAGCACTACACCTAGGATCCTACTGGGCATAATCTAGTTATATAAGTAGCGTGATACGGCCTGACCCGAGAGATCAGCAACCCAATGATGCGAAGATTGTTCTGAAGACGGGCTAGCACTCTTCCCACTGAAGCTGTGAAACGGCGTTGTCAGGGCTGGCTAGCTAGTAAAGTCGTAGCTGCCTCAGTAAACCATGGTTAAGATGACCTGAAGTTCACCAGCACAATGCTGGAACTGGAAGTTGTGAAGGCTAACTGGCTGCTGCTGAGTCACAGTTACCAGTTGACCAACTGGCAAGCAACGGCACGGCCAATCTTCACAGCATTGCCATGCGCTGTCTTGTGACCAACAGGAATTTCTTTGCCTGCACATATCCCAGACACTTGGAGATTCGGACTCCTGCAAAAGACGCTCTGTATGCTGTGCTCGGGGTCGTTGTTTGCACCCACGGGGACTACAAGTCTCAAAGGCTCCAAGCATTTTAATGTCAGATGGGTGATGAAGCAGGCTTCTAGGAACCCCAAGAAGGAACCCATAACTTCCCATAACCCTACCTAAATCTTAAAAGTATGCAATAATAGCCATAAAGGCCATTGTATTACATATTTTTGGGGTCCAGGTAGCAGTTCTGTGGAGCCTTCGGGCTTCATTCGAAGATATTTGACGATGTCTCTCCCGCATCGGCTTAAAGCCGAGGCCAGACATGTGGAACCCGGTAGTCCTTTTCCATGTCCTAAGCCCCCTCCTAAACCTTACGCCCCAAGCCCAGAAGTTTCCGAGGTTTAGCGCGACTCTGCATACTGTTGGATCCTGATTAGTGCGGAGGGCCCGCCGCGAATAAAAGGGGGCTGCCCTACAACAACAAGTACTGGAAACAACTGCGGGGTCTGGGATCCCATGGCTCCTATTAAATCCAGGACGTGAAGATGGATCCTTCGGCTCCTACTAAAAGAAGAAAAGAACTTGTGCAAATTAAAACGGAGAGGGAAGTTTAGTTTAGCTTATAGCTTCGTAATTGAATAGGACGAAAGCTGGGTCCCCGTAATAGATCTCGCCATTAACCCACCCCAAAAAACTTGACATTATTGAGCCTCCTGAAATCTTTTCTGCTGGACTACCCACTTCGGAATTTGATCGTCCAGCTCATCTAGACACAAAGAAGCGGGGGTTGATAGCTTTCAGTTTTGAAGGCCTGGCCTTTCATAACAGTAGCTTCTTGGCTTTACCATAAACCTTCCACAGATTTTGGGGGGCAGGAAAAGTTTACGGAGGCCCCCGCCAAATCAAATGGGGTGTACTGATATTATTTCCAAAGCTTCACTTGAAAGGAAGCTCCGGTACTAATCGGGATTACTATTCGGGATTCAACATTTTTCTGCTGCGATTGGCCAAGAACCACCATAAGGGTATGGGCTGCAGCATTCAGATGTTAGGCCTGGGGATTCAGAGGGTCGGGACCAAGATGAACCGAGATGCTGCTACATAACATTGGGACGGAAACTTCCGAATTCCTGCCAAGTGTCTTGGTTGAGAGCGTTAACTAGAACAGCCTGCTTTTCTTACAGCGCATTGCGCCAGTCAGAAGCAATAACCTCACGGTGACACTTGGCTCCAAATCAGCTCGCACAGTAAGAAGACATCTGGGGCAAGCACAGCTCACGATGGCTTTCGTAACAAGAGATTGCACTGAATGAGCAATCCCACAAGCCAGAGCCCTACCAGGAGTGACTTGAGCATAGCTTTTCCAAGTTGCCCAAATCGAAGGAAGTGAAGTAATATTGGGCTAGTATAGGGTAACATAGGGCTATATAGGGATAATGGAAAAGAAAATGGAAACTACTATTTAGGGTTTACCCTAAACCCTAAACCCTTAGGGTTTTAAGTTTTAAGCAAAGCCGAATCTAAAGTCTTAAAAAAGTCGGAGATGGCTCAACAGCGGTGGAAGGTTTTCAGGCATTTGCCTTGTTGTCACCAGGAGTGTGCGTTTAGGGTTTAGGGTTTAGGGTTAATGTTGTTTGTACGGAGATTCTACGAGAATCTGTTTGAGCTGTAGTCTAAACTCCTTAGAGGGGGGTTATACAACGGAATACATAAGGGACTGCTATGGGGGCTATTTAGGGGGATACTAGGAGTTTAATAGACATATAGCTCATGTAGCGATCACGTGGCATCTTGTAGGCTTCCGCAGATCAGTATGTGGTGACCAGGTTTGGAAGCTTTAGGTGGTGCACCTAAGCTTCATGATGGCTCTAAGACTATTGTGAGTTCAGGGCTGAATCCGTCCAGCCATCGATCTAGTACTTAGCATGTTTCTGCTTTCTGTGAGGCTTGGCCTTGTGCATACCAATTGAGCATCTTGAGAGGCCGTGCTGTGGCCTGCCGTCTCCGCATTGCAGGAGGCTTCGTTCCTTTCAGCGGCCACGTGGCGTGCTTCTGCAACATGGAGGCCAGCTAGCCATGACAAAGCTAAAAACATCTGGAATCTAGACAAGGCATGATTGATCCTTTGAAGCTCATCCGGTGATCACCTCACGATTTCAGCTGTATTTTAGGGGCGGTTTAAACAAATATTACAAGTCTGGGAATGGCAGAGAAGAGCCATAACTTCAAGTCATAGCCTCTGTTTCCAGCAGCCTTCATGCTACACATTCTTGTGCATGCTAGTTCTGTCCCCCCCCAGCAGGTGTATGCAGCGACTTCTGCCCAGAGTCGAGGAGCTGATCTGACCAGCACCGTTCTGTTGAAAGATTCATCTACCTCATATGAGCCATGATAAACTCCCCAAAAGGGGCTATATCGGAGTGTATATAGGGGAGTGCTATAGGAGTTATAAACGGGAATACTCAAAGCTTAGACTATAGCTCATACTGGACCGCCCTGCATGACATATCTCCAGATGCTTTCGGCAGATCGCACGCGATTCACTGTTCTTGGCCGGAAACTGTCTGGCTGGAGTTTTGCAACAGTTGCATGCTGCTGGTGTCCCTCAAGTTGGATTGCTACTCTTTAGGTTGTGATTGCGACCATTGCGCTAGTTGCTGAGGGAAGTCTTTTCCATTTGCTTCTTTGGCACTGCAAGGCAATGACTACACCCTGGGGGCTCCTGCTCTCACTGCTGCCCTGTCCCGCCCCCAAGCTTCAGCAATGACAGGTTGATTTGAATGAGGGGCGGTCGTGGCCGAAGGGTGGCAGGCAAACAGAAGATTTGCCTGCAATGATTTTTTCAAGGAGTAATCCCCTGTTTCCCTGCGCGCCACATCGGTGCCACTGAATGTTGCCAACGTTGCTTTGTTGCCATTTCTGGCCTGTGCAGTGCGTATTGCCAAAAACTGTCATCATTCCTGAATTAGGGAGGAGTCAAAACGATTGCTGCGTGCAGAAGGCAGAAGCCCCAAGAAAGCCTCAAGGTGCAGGACGAAGTAGGCGATGCTGGAATAATTAGCCTTATCACAGGCCCTTCGCAGGCTTTGACTCTACGAAAAGAGTACCATAACAGACTTTAGATATCAAGTCTTTGAGGGCAAAGGCTTTGAATCGAAACTCATGTGCTTTGCCTGTGTTTTGACCCGGAAGTTTGGTCCGGGATAATTCTGCGCTCCGCTCTATAATGGCACTAAGGATCTTGACTGCTTTGTGCCCCCCCTCTCCCTGCTAGCTGTTGCATGCGCTGTGATACACAAACTTCATATTCAAAACTCTGGGCGAAGTCTTTGGACAGAATGTTAGGAGGTAGGTCCCAGGGCCTGGGACCAGGGGAGGTGGCTTTGACTATTCTACCCTTGCTGTTTGAGGCACACTTTTGTACTTTTACATTGCTCATGATCCACATTCTGCCCATTTTAGCCAATAAGTTGGCGTGTGCATGTCCTGGAGACAGCAGCCATGATTTCAAGATGCTGCCCGCAGCATGCAGGAGCCTGAGCTGTGACCCAGAGGACCCCCACAGCCAGGAGAATTTTGACGGGAAGTCATGTAGCAAAACGACAAGCAGCTAGATCCGATCAGGGAATCTAAGAACGTACCCTGGCCTCTTGCTTGCAGGGTATTCAATCATGCCCACCCGCACATCTGTCAGAAACAAGGATCAATGGGGGAGTAACAACCCTTGCATTGGTTGGCAGCTTGAAGGGATTCAGCATTTGCACGTGTTGTCTGCAGAGTCTGCTAAATTCAAAAGCTTCTAGACGCGCGACTGCTTGTAGCATTGGCCCCTTCCCAAAGCCCGTTCGAAGGCTTACGATACCCAACTCGCATGGCGCAGCTAGATGTCAAGCGTGCAGTCCACGTCTTTGCTATATACATGGTATTTCAAGGCACTTCAGACCCGGAGACCTGTAAACTGCATTGAAACCCTGTCGTTCAGCAAGCCCTGGCTTGAGAGAGGATCGTATTTGAGTGTCCATTTTTCGATCGGCTGTAACATGGCACAAGTCCGGTGCCGGCGCCGCCGAGAGGCTAAGCAGACAAAGTCACGCAAATTCCAATCCGAACGAATCGCATCAGTACTTAGGGATCGGGTGGTTATGATCCCTACGACAACGCAATGTTGGCATCTTCCGTGGCTTATCCAAAACAAGCATCGGAATGAGGCTTTCAAGACATTTCAACCTTATCAGCTCTGTTGGCATCTTCCGTGGCTGATCCAAAACAAGCGTCGGAATGATCAGCTTGCTCAGGTCCCATCTTTTGGGTCCTGCCCTTCGCCACACAGACCGGCGCCTGCGGATACCCAGATCCGTTCCTATCAGGTGCTCGTCCCTTTGCAGGGACTTCCCCAGCCATATTCCAATGGATGCGGACAGTCCCGCTCCACGTGAAGAGCCTACAAGCTCTTCCAAGGACACAAGCCGTGAATCCACGGCCAAGCGGACCAGCAGTGAGCCAAGCAGTCCGAGCACAAAGGCTCAAAAGCCGAACAAGAAAGGCGGTGAAAAGCGAGCCGCCGAACGACCCCTTGAAGAAATTGTCGAGGATGACCTGCTCAAGGAGCTGATGGGTTCACTGCCTACTCTCCACGAGGTGCCGCTTGTGGCAGGATACCCTGAGACGGGTACCGTTCGTTACCCAAGCCTACGACGAGCGCACAGGCGAGGAACTGCCTCTGGAGAAGGTAAAGGCGGCCCGAGGCCGCGAGCTTGACAAAATGGTGGAACACCAAGTGAAGAAGACATCACTTGGCAGGAGGCCAAGCAGATGAACCTCAAGGTCTGCGTTCCAGGTGGGTAGACGGCTGGAAGCCCCTGCCTGGTGATGAGAACGGAGTTCGGTCCAGGTGCGTTGCACAGGAGATCAACAACTACGCTCGGGACGACGTCTCCAGCGGAACTCCGCCCCTCAAGGCACACCGCATGGTCCTTGCACACGCGGCCACGCGACGGCCTGAGGAAGGTGAGAACCGAAAGCTGATCGGCCGGTACGACGTGAGTGTGGCATTCTCTCATGCTGAGTCTACTGGCAAGATAGCTGTTGTGCCACCAAAGGACGTGGACGAAGGCCACCTTTGGTACTTGCTGAAGGCAATGAATGGCACAAGGGAAGCGTCAAAGCAGTGGTCGCTGAAGATCACAAAGACCAAGCGAAAGCACGGCTTTCTGGAGATTGCCAACGTGCCCGGACTGTTCTACCATCCGGTGCATGACTTGCTTGTGTCGTGCCACGGTGACGACTTCCTAGCATCAGGCACCAGGGAAGCTCTTTACTTCCTGGACGCCATTATGGTGCAAGAGTACGAGACAAAAGTACTCCCGCACGTTGGTGCTCTTGAGCATGGAGGTCATTGCCGCGAAGGCTACCATCTGCATCGCAAAATCACAAGGAGCCCGAAGGGGTATTCATGGGAGGCAGATGGTAAGTACGCTGAGGTCCTGGTTTCTAAGCTGGGACTCCAGGGCGCGAAGGGTGTGGACGCCCCCGCCAGTAAGGACTGTGGCAAGTCCGACCGAGACGCTGAGAAAGAGCTCTCGGCTGAGGAAGCAAGCACCTTCAGGAAGCTTGCCGGCACCGCACTGTACCTGTCGCTGGACAGGCCGACTATACAGTTCGCGGTCAGCGACATCACCTCTAGGATGGCACGTCCGTTGCGCCTGAACATGCACCGGCTACGCAGGCTGGGCCGCTATCTCATCAAGCACCCGAAGGAGGTGTGGAACTTCGATTTCCAGATGGCTCCGAACGAGCTGGTAGTCTACACAGACTCAGACTGTGACTGGGCAAGCGACACCCGAACCCGCAAAAGCATGAGCTGCTATGTGGAAATGTTCGGGAAGCATATGATTGAAGCATCGTGTGCCCGTCAGGCCACTGTTGCGCTGAGCTTGGGAGAAGCTGAGTTCTATGCGCTGACCCGAGGCATCGCAGCTGCCTTGATGTCCCAGCAAGTCTGGGAGGTGATCAACTACACGTTGCCGGTGGTTGGGAGGACAGACTCCACCGCGGGAAAAGGGATAGCCCACAGGAAGGGCTGTGGAAAGGTTAAGCACCTATCCATCAGAGAGCTATGGCTCCAGGACTATGTCCAAAAGGGCAAAGTCAGGGTCATTAAATTTCTCATTCATCAGAAATTCCCCACCCTGGCTGTGGGGTTTCTAGATTTTAAAGTCTATGTTGTCCCCCCGAAGGAGCTTGATTGCAATGCTCAATGGCAACGTATTCCTGCAGTGCCCAACCGCAAAGTATCCCTGCAGTGCCCAATCGCAGAGTATCCATACAGTGCCGAACCGCAGAGTTTCCCCAATCTTCCAGGAAACTTTACATCTTTTGTCCAAAAAGAGCTTTGGGGTGGGGATGCTCGAAGTAAATAATTGATATCTTCTATATTTCATCAAAATTAAGCGTCGGAATGAGATGAAAGTCGTATTTCAGATTTATCAGATCTGAGAATATCTTTTATGATTTCATTAAATTAAGCCTGGAAATGCGGTTTTGTATCCATTTCAATATTTCAAAATTCGCAGATCTAATAATAATCAATGATATAAATAGATTTCTGATCTTTTCAAATTTTAAGCTGAATTTATTCCTTATATATCTCTATCATCATCAAAATCGTAAGTACAATTAATCCTTTGTTCGCAATATAAATATATTAGAATTTCAAAATATATCATATTTCAATGATTCAAATCAATGAAATGATTTAAATATATATATATGTGTGTATATATATAATCTAGTCCTTAAATTTATTTCGGAAAATCGAGATGAAACATATATCTTCTGTATCTCCTATTTCAAAAGCGTGCACGGAAATCATATATCAGAATATGATTTGCGTTGAATAGAAAACACGACCACTTGGGGTCATTTTGTTCGCGTACGGCTTAGCTTTTCCGGCTCGCTCTCACTTTGAAAACGTCTCCTACGGGTTCTCGAAAGGCTCTAAGCTCTCGGAGATTTTAGAGCCCTCCAGAGAAGCTAGAAATTCCAAAGTCTCCGAGATTTTTAGTATAGACGGCACGACCAAAAATCTCGAAGATTTTTAATCGCGCGATCCTTATCTCCAGAAAATTCTTCCGGAAACTTTATATCTCTTTGATTGCTTGTGCGACCGTTCGATAGCCGATATAGAGATACGGAGAAGCAAAATCTTCCAGATTTCCAGTTCTATTACGTTTTTCACGAGCCTTGGTGCAAATAGCAATAGCCCAAAAGAGATGAAAATAATAGACCAGTACTACCGGCGGATTAGGACTTACTACGGAAAAGATTTCCCTTGGAATTCAAATTTTCGGAAGGGCTAATTTGGCCGACGTGATGGCGTGTCGAGCCGTAGCCCCATTGATTGAAGCCTTGATTCCTCCCCGGCTGGATCATTCGAAAATAGGTTGGGCACCTGTATTTCAGAGATTTGCGCAGATCTTTCCTATTTGGCAGGCCGAACTTGAGAATCCTGATTTCAGATCTAAACAAAAAGGAGTTGATGAAAATTACGGTGTTGTCCTTTCGTAGCGCTGTCAATGATCTTCTTTCGGATCTCTATAAAAGGGTCCTTCAAGCTTTTGTTGCTCTTTGGGCGGTTCAGCTTGCTCCAATTCATATTTTTGATATTTATTTATCCAACGCTGCATTCCACGATATTCTTTCCATGCGGCTTGGCAGATAATCATATGAAGCTGATACGATATGGCCACGATACTCCCAAGCTCAGGACTCCTTTGGACGCCATATATTTGCGTATCATATGCTTAGGAAAAAACCGATCCTTCATAATGTGATTCGTGATGAAATCTATAGAACTCTGCATGAGAGAAATCTTCGAAATCTTCATTGCAAATTGGAGTCCAATCATCTCTTGCCAGATCCATCAGATCAGCGTCTATAGATATCTTAACGATTCCTATAGCTCTCTATAGATAGTCTATCTGGGATCTTATGCCGAAGATTGCACTTGATATCTCGATTATCTTTCCTTTCCGATCGTCTAATTTGGGGCAGGATAGTTTGTCGATTGCTAAATCTCAGGAGGAACGTAAATGGCGGGATCGGGAGACGGCTCGAAGATATCAGACCCAGGGAATAGGATTTGAGCCATTGATTTTCGATCATTCTGGAGGGCCTGGAGTCAGAGGAGGATCCTCTATCATTTTTTTTGTCGAGCTGTCGATGATAATTTATAATAAAATAGGGGATCTACGAAGCAGATATTGAAATAACATATTTCCTTTGTTTTTTTTTCCAGAAATATGCGCATACGATTTTGTAGCGAGCTCGGGACAGAATCCAGGTAATCAATATCAAGATCATGCATTCAATTCAAGAATATGAGAAGAAAGAAATCTCGTTATTCAAGAAATCCGAAGAATAATCTAATCAAATATTTCCCGAATTAGACGAGAAGGAAGATGCCGAACGAAGAAGAATAATAAAACAGAAACGGATTTTCAAATGAAATGAAGAATTCGGAAGAAAATCCAAAAATCCATCTTATCAATTATGCGTTCAAATTTCCGCCTTCTCAGATTTGGAATCATCATTCCTATATATAGGGTCCTGATATCAGATTCCGTAATTATCCTCTTTCCGAATTCATAGATAGGAATTGAATAGAACGACCATGGGATTCCCGGCAGGTCGGCGGGTCCTATATTCTATCCCGAAATTGCTGCAAATAAATATGCGCATATTTCTGAAATATGAAGGAAGAATCCTCTTTCAATATCTAATATTTAGATCTCATATTTCGCTACAAATTATCATCGATAATTCGATAAAACGAAATCTATAGACGATCTCCCTCTGATTCCAAGCATCCGGAATGATCAAAAATCAATGGCTCAAATCTTATGCCCTGGAATTGATATCTTCGAGCCATCTGCAAATTATCCTGTTCTAAATTAGATAAAAGAAAGAAAATCGAGATATAACGTGCAATCTTCAGCATAAGATCCCAGATCGATTAATCTGCAGAGAATTTAGGAATCATTAAGATTTCTGCCGAATTGATTGGCGAATCTATCAAGAGATGATTGAGCTCCAATTTATAATGAAGGACCCGCCGGAATCCCAAGATAAATTTATTTAATTCTTATATATATAATTATAGAGAAGATATTCACGGAATCCAATATCAGGATCTCACGCGCAAGAAATCCAATATTAATCAGAACGTCATATATAAACGACAGGCACTCAAGGAAAACCTCATTTTATGCCTTTGGGAATGATATTTTGAATAAATTCTATTTCTTCGCGTGCCTTCCCCTCCTTATCCTCATATTATTCGGAAGCTAGATGATCATGGAATCTGTTATCAAGACCCCACGTGCTAGAAAGGTGGTTCCAAATCTGAGAAGGCGGAAATTTGATGGCGTAGATATGATTAGAGCAAATAGATTTTCGCCATTTATTCTCCAATAATGTATTTCGTTTGAAGATTCGTTTCTGCGTATTATTCTTGATCTTTCGGCGTCTTCTTTCTCGTCTAATTCGTGGCTGGCGATGGCGAGGTTTGACGATTAGAAAGCGGACGCCGATTCTTCTTAGGATATTCAATCTTGCAAATGATTGCAGAGATATCTAATTAGATTATTCTTCAGATCTCTTGAATAATAAGATTTCTTGCTATTCGATCCAAATCTAAGAAAATAGAAATATATTCTTGGGATATACGATTCTTCAAATGCTTCTAGAAATATTCAAAGGATTTGATAGAAATTGAGATATTCTCCTTTCGTAGGGCTACTAGTGACCTTCTTTCTGATCTCCAAAAAAGGGTCTTCCAAATTTTTGCCGCTCCTTGGGCGGATGGGAGGGTTCGGACTTCTCCGAGTCACGCTTTTTTATATATTTATTTATCTAACGCTGCATTCTACGATATTCTTTCCATGCGGCTTGGCAGATAAATTTTCGAAGGCGATACGGCATGCCCACGATGTCCCCAACCTCAAGATTCCTTTGAATACCATATTTTTGCGTGAAATATATTTGGAGGAAAATCAATCCTTCATAATATGATTCGTGATGAAATTTGCAGAATTCTGTAGGAGGGAAACCTTCATTATAGATTGGAATCCAATTATCTCTTGCCAGATTCGCCAGGTCAGCGCCCTGCAGATATTTTAACGATCCCTGCAGCTCTCTGCAGATAATCTATTTGGGGTCTGATGCCGAAGATTGCGCTTGATATCTCGATTGTCTCGCCTTTCCGGTCGTCTAATTTGGGGCAGGGTAGTTTATCAGCTGCTAAGTCTCAGGCGGAGCGTAAACGTAGAGATCGTGAGACGGCCAAAAGATACCATTCCCAGGGCATAGGATTTGAGTCACTGGTCTTTGAATATTCTGGAGGCCTGGAATCGGAGGGAGATCGTCTTCTGATTTCGTTTTGTCGAGTTATTGACGATAATTTGCACCGAAAGATTGGATCTATTTGTCAGATATTAAAACAACGTATTTCCTTCGTAATTCAGAATTATGTGCATACTTGCTTGCAGCGGGCTAGGGACCAAAGCCAGAGCCCGCCTAAAATCTATGATCGTTCGATTCAATTCCTGCAAATATATTCTGAGGGAGGATGGTCATTGAGCCTGCTGACAGGATCCCACGCGCAAGATACGATGATTCTGAATCTAAGGGGACGGGACCTGAAGCGAATAGATGATTGGAGATAGAGTATCCTATTTTCTCATTTTCTTCGCTTCGTTTGAGGGATGGTTGTTGCGTTGCTGCTTTTCCTTCTTTCGGCATCTTCTTTTCCGTCTAATTCGTGGCGGGTCGGGTTTTCACGATTGGAATGCGGACGCCGAATCTTTTGGGACTTCTTTTTCTATCAAGCGAATGAGAAAATTTCAAATCTTGAATAACGAGATTTCTTCCTTTTCCCTTATCTGAGGACGGATATCTCCCTCTATGGGTCCGAGATATTCATCTATAATATTCTTCAAATTCCTTAATTACCAAGATATCTTTCTTATTTTCATCTTTAGATTTGAAAATATAATGAAAATATTTATATTAATCTTGAAAAATCTTCGCATTCAACCGCATATAGTGTATTTCATTTAATTTCTCATTATTACTATTCTCCTATAAATATTTTCTAATATTATAAGCAGCAAATCAAATCTAATATATTTTAATCAAATCTTCATATCATATTATAAATCAAAGCATAGAATATTCCATATAAGATAAATATCCTCGTCCTAGACCTCAAACCAGAATTATGAATCCTAAACAATGAATTTATTCTCTATCTCCTATCAATATAGAATCAAAAAAATTCTTTTCATATCATCAAAACAAAGTCGTTAGAATCCAATATAGTCGAGAGAAAAAATTGAAGTTTTAAATTTATATCTTAAGCTCTAAATCCTAAATCTTAAAATCCTAAAATCCTAAATCCTATAATCCTAAAACCCTAAGCCCCAAACCCTTCATCCGACCACGCCGGACCCCAAACCCGAGTAACGAATCCAGCACTATCTTCCAATTCAGCAACCATGAAATATGAAGAATATGTATT